GTGGGCTAATCCTATGTAATAGGGTGGAAGCGACAAAGGCTACAGTACAGCAAATTAAAGATCTTAGATTTATTCTGGTTTTTAAATGGTTAAAAGGCCACCGGAACTAACTAATAGAGTTGGACGGAAGATGGGGAAAAAGCAGCCCATGGGGTATTTAAACGGCCGTCTGATTTTTATTTGCCCTTCTCCTATCTGGTGGTCGCTCCGGCTTGTTACGGTCAAAACGCCCTGTTGTCGTTGTCGACTGCACTTGGTCGCAATGCACAGGTGTGTCAGATCGGAATGGCTGGGTGGCGCTAGACTGGCTCGGTTCAGGGTACGTTCCTTTGGTTAGATTTAATAATAATTTTCATTTGTATTCTTGCCAAGAAAAAGTTAGATGGTAGATCGCTGTATATTTGAGGTTTTGTTCCAGCACGTGGTCGTTAATGTCGTTATTTGTTGACCACGCTGATGTAATGTTGAGTAAAATAAACTGTTTAATGTGATCATAATTCATTTGCTTGACTTAATTTAGAATCTGTAGTCTCTGGTTGTCTAAGTCTAGGTGTGTGTACCCATGTTTAGGTCGACGTCATGTAACGTTACCATGTAGATATCCATAGTTAGGGTTTCGGTGAAATATCTGGGATCTCTGCGGAGAAGAACCCCTGTCTTTTCTTTACTTTTCTGTTTTTGTTGTTTAGTGGGGAACTACTATGACTTTTGTTCTAATCATCACAACTTTCTTCTCTCTCTAGCTTTCTTCTTCTATTTACCTCTTTCTTTCTTCCCGCTATCACACCTAGTTAAAGAGCGTAGTAATAATAATAAAAATAATAATGGACTTAAATGCAAACATATATAATTATGTATGAAATCATATATAACGTATACAGAAACTTGCAATTTAGATTAGAGAGGCGGGGGAGGGGGGAGGACTCAGCTCCCTTAAAATAAATGTGGAGGTGAGGCCTCATGGAAACTGAGGCTCCCAGACTCTAGTGCCTACTGTGGTACATGTGCGTATGTGCAAGTATATGTTGTAGTTTATCTGTCCTGTCCGCAAGTTAGGGCACCTAGAGCTTGTGTTCTGTAGTCCTGTCCACAAGTTGGGGCAACTAGAGCTTGTGGTCAGTGGTCCTGTCTGCAAGGTGGGGCACCTAGAGCTTCTGCTATGTGGTCCTGGCACCTAGAGCTTGTGTTATGTGGTCCTGTCCGCAAGTTGGGGCACCTAGAGCTTGTGGTCAGTGGTCCTGGCACCTAGAGCTTGTGGCCAGTGGTCCTGGCACATAGAGCTTGTGGTCAGTGGTCCTGGCACCTAGAGCTTGTGGCCAGTGGTCCTGGCTGGCACGTAGAGCGTGTGTTCAGTGGTCCTGGCACCTAGAGCTTGTGTTTTGTGTACTGGTGTGGTTGATCACGTCACACGTCGTATGCTTATGTGATATGGGTCCACAGATTCTTGCCAAGCCCTGGTCATATGCCACACATGTTCCATGGAATGATAACAGAAAGACAACGTGGGAGACATCTGTATAGAGATACTAAATATTCAGGGGGGAGGGAGGGGGACCACGACACCACTATATTATTAGTCTAAGAAAGGTCAAATATAGCAGAGCTAGGTACAAGAACACACAGACCAATCTTTGCAATAAAGAATGTGATATGACTTCTGACTCACAAAGCATGTGTCTGATATCATTACAAATATGTCTGATATGAAAATGCATGTGTCTGATATGAAAATGCATGTGTCTGATATCATATTACATGTGTCTGATATCATATTACATGTGTCTGATATCATATTACATGTGTCTGATATCATATTACATGTGTCTGATATCATATTACATGTGTCTGATATCATATTACATGTGTCTGATATCATATTACATGTGTCTGATATCATATTACATGTGTCTGATATCATATTACATGTGTCTGATATCATATTACATGTGTCTGATATCATATTACATGTGTGATATCATATTACATGTGTCTGATATCATAATGCATGTGTCTGATATCATATTACATGTGTCTCATATCATAATGCATGTGTCTGATATCATAATACATGTGTCTGATATCATAATACATGTGTCTGATATCATAATACATGTGTCTGATATCATAATACATGTGTCTGATATCATATTACATGTGTCTGATATCATATTACATGTGTCTGATATCATATTACATGTGTCTGATATCATAATACATGTGTCTGATATCATATTACATGTGTCTGATATCATATTACATGTGTCTGATATCATAATACATGTGTCTGATATCATATTACATGTGTCTGATATCATATTACATGTGTCTGATATCATATTACATGTGTCTGATATCATATTACATGTGTCTGATATCATATTACATGTGTCTGATATCATATACATGTGTCTGATATCATAATACATGTGTCTGATATCATAATACATGTGTCTGATATCATACTACATGAGTTCGATATCACAGACAGATGACAGTAGCTCACTAACTAGCAAAACCACAGACAGATGACAGTAGCTTACTAACTAGCAAAACCACAGACAGATGACAGTAGCTCACTAACTAGCAAAACCAGAGACAGATGACAGTAGCTCACTAACTAGCAAAACCACAGACAGATGACAGTAACTCACTAACTAGCAAAACCACAGACAGATGACAGTAGCTCACTAACTAGCAAAACCACAGACAGATGACAGTAGCTCACTAACTAGCAAAACCACAGACAGTAGCTCACTAACTAGCAAAACCACAGACAGATGACAGTAGCTCACTAACTTGCAAAACCACAGACAGATGACAGTAGCTCACTAACTAGCAAAACCACAGACAGATGACAGTAGCTCACTAACTAGCAAAACCACAATATAGACAATAAGCACTTGATGAATGGTGAGGCCAAATCCTGCCAGACACATTTACATCCAAGTCCTGTTGAGGGTAACCAGGAATTGATTGGCACTCACAAAAGGAAGCAGACAGATAGATGAACACATAAGACAACAAAAAACAATTGCTGTTTTGTAAACTGAGGGAGTTCCATGGTCTTGAGGCATGGTGTCCGCCTCGAGTGAGAGAGGTTCCGGGTTCAATCCCCGTCAAGCGCTGAGATTTTTTTCACATGGACTTGGACTTCTAGTAATTCCCCCTGGTCTCTGGGTAGTGAGATTGGACGCCCGTGTTGCACACGTAAAAAATCCCTTGGAAGTTGGAAATCGTAAATAGTAGCCTAACGGCGCTGCCCAGGCAAAATTTGGAGTTAAAAATCTACCCAAAGTATTTCAGGATCCTCGACAGTGCTACAGAGTATGTGCATTGTGCTGAGCTTCTTCAGACTCAAACTTGGAGTAAGAAGAAGAATGGAGCACATATGGGTTACTATCCATGAGCCATGATGTTGGATGTTGAAATCTCAAACTGTTTAGTAAATTCTAGTGTGTCCTTCTAACTTTCTACTTGCGTAGTTGGCTAAACCGGATTGCGAGGAGACCGGGTGACAAACTCCTTGTGGTCTGGATTCAATCCCGGGGGTAGGCAGGAAAGCCACATTTTCTCCCAGATTCATGGTATTTACAATGGAATCAAGGCCGAAAGGTTGCGACATCCATAATACCGAGCCTAAGGGTTAACAACTCACGGCTTCTGGATACTAAAACAAACAAACAAATAACTTTCTACTTCTTTCTGTTACACTGATCAACACATGACTTTTTCTGTATTATATATAATCTGTCTACAAGCGCATGGGTTGCCCATTTGTTTATTTCTGTCTATTAAGGGTAGGTTGACCTTAAGGCCAGGGTCATTTTAATTATGTTCCTCGTCTAAATGTGGATTTGAACCTACCGACTCCCAGTGGGCAGGCTAAAGTGCTAGCTCCTGCACTACCACAAATCCCAATCAAAAACACAGCCAGGTAATACTTTGATTTCTTCTTCTATATTTGCCCAAAGAGGATGGTTGAGACTTATAGCTAAGCTGCGATATCTGCACCTTTTTGTCCCAACATATCTGATTGTAGTGAACTCCTAATTAGTCGCCTCATATGAGATCTATTCCAACCCCCCCCCCCCCCCCCCCCCCCCCCCCCCCCCCCCCCCCCCCCCCACCACCACCATGGAGCCACACCAGGATACTGAGATATGACATCAGAAAAAGCCAATGTAACTGACAAGAATATACAATTCTGATCCCAAACAAACCAGAAATAACATCAACGCCAAACAATAAAGCATGATCACAACATTTCTTAAGAACATTTTAGAAATAATACAATTATCATTTAATCCAAACAACATAAAGTCACTTAATCTGAAGTAAATTGGACTTTTAAATCCCCAGCATTTTGAATTTCCTTCCATTTGTCAACTGAACACTGTAACTCAGATTTACCTTAAATGGCTGTAGGTTTACAATTCAAGACAACACAGACAAGATTACAATTACAAAGTTGCTGTAGAAAAATTTAACATATAGACAAAATAAATTTAAAAAAAGGTCACAGCTCTCTGATGGTAAACTAAAGCACAATGTGTGGTAGCAGTCAGATGGATACAGCACAATGTGTGGTAGCAGCCAGGTGGATACAGCACAATGTGTAGTAGCAGCCAGATGGATACAGCACAATGTGTGGTAGCAGCCAGGTGGATACAGCACAATGGTGGTAGCAGCCAGGTGGATACAGCACAATGTGTAGTAGCAGCCATGTGGATACAGCACAATGTGTGGTAGCAGCCAGATGGATACAGCACAATGTGTGGTAGCAGCCAGGTGGATACAGCACAATGTGTGGTAGCAGCCAGGTGGATACAGCACAATGTGTGGTAGCAGCCAGGTGGATACAGCACAATGTGTGGTAGCAGCCAGGTGGATACAGCACAATGTGTGGTAGCAGCCAGGTGGAGACTGGAGAGGTTCTGATGTATCCTCAGACAAGCTGAACTCTCTGGGAAGATGTGCAGTGAGGCACAGCAGCTGGCCAGTTATCTGTAGCCTTTAGGTGGTGTGTAGGGAACAGTTCGATGATCTGTGATCTCCATCTCTTCATGGCAGCCCCTGGGGAAACCAAATTAAAATACAAATTCTATCAATAACTGTCCCGGATCACTCATATGGATAAACAAATTATTGTCTGATCACAACTGTGGATATCCATATGTTATTTTGGATACCTGAACTGTTTTCTAATGTTATAATTGTGGATATTAGTTATAGCTGTGAACAGTTAGATTATTTTCCTTATTTCACAACTCAGGTTCTCAAGACCAGAGGTGAATAAACAAGCAGAACTTTCTGCCAGACTTTACAGTCGCTGACAATGAAAATGATTAGAACCAAGTGAATGAAGTGCACATTATCATGAAACAGATTCCTGGCTTGTCTGTGACATCAAATTATGGAATCTCCAAATACAATGAAAATATTCCTTTAAACCAGAGCAAACCCAACTTGAAACTATAAGAAAAGCCAACTTTATACCAATGTAAAAATCAAATCCATTCAACTTGAAACTATAAGAAAAGCCAACTTTATCCCAATGTAAAAATCAAATCCATTCAACTTGAAACTATAAGAAAAGCCAACTTTATACCAATGTAAAAATCAAATCCATTCAACTTGAAACTATAAGAAAAGCCAACTTTATACCAATGTAAAAATCAAATCCATTCAACTTGAAACTATAAGAAAAGCCAACTTTATACCAATGTAAAAATCAAATCCATTCAACTTGAAACTATAAGAAAAGCCAACTTTATACCAATGTAAAAATCAAATCCATTCAACTTGAAACTATAACAAAAAGCCAGCTTCATACTAAAGCCAGCCCAATGTAATAATCAAATGCATTCATTAAACTTTCAACTAAAGCACACTAACTTGAGACCAGACTTTAAAGCAAGATAACTTCACACCAATGTCTTACTTGAAACATCTCTGGCAGTACAGGTCCAGATCACAGTCTCGACAGCGGACAGTGGCGTCCTCTGTACAAATACAACAGTAGGGAAGTTCGTCTGGGTCATCATAGTCACTGTCTGCCAGCTCTGCCTTGGATGGCGGCTGTCAGATGGTTAGGTTTATAAATAAGATTAGAAATTCAAATATTACTTTGGGTAAAGATAGAGAAAGAGGTGCGATCATCAAATCTGGGTTAATCAAGATCAGCTAGTTCAGATACGTGTCTGATCACGACTGTCCAATCCTCAATCATCTAATATGTTAATGAAGTGTTGCTGTGTTTTTTGTTTTCAATGTGTCTTATCCAGCCATGTAAGCCTTCCATGTAATCTTTGTCTTCGTCTGTTTCTCTTGCCTTATATTTTCTTCCTTGACATGTTCTACCTTCCTGTATCTTTCCTTCACTAACCTTCTTCTTTGAATGCCTGGCTGTAAGAAAACTCTGAGGGTTTTTTGTCCTCTTCTGGACTTTGAACTTGTTTCAAAACTGGAGTTCTAGGTGAACATCCTTTTACAGATTAGGCTCATCTGTATGCAGACTGTTGGTTCTGTGTTTCTCAGGCAGATAAACTGCTACTCTGAAGGACTTTCTCTAATGTTAATCAACATCCTTTACAAACACTAAATCCTTTTTCCCAATGATGTTAAATGTTCATATTTTTTTTAAACGTTTTTCTTTTGACAGGCACAAATGTTTATGACAAAATCAAAACTTTAAGCGTACGCAGTAGGATGTCACATGTTTGTTCTGACCTGCCTTTGTTTTAACAATTATTTGCTGACAAAACACATCCAAAGGCTCAAGGGTGCGAATACTGACTGATGTTTTCCCAGTCCTGGGGCCAGTGTTATCTCTTACAGGAGAAGTGTGTTTGTAGTTTTTTTAAGCGTTTAAACATGATCTAAACATGCCTTTCTTTGTTTTGTTTTGGGTGTATACAAAAGAATCAACATGAAGAGACGAACAAGTAGTGAGGAATATAAGGACATGAACATCACAGAAGAAATATGAAAGAAGGGAAATAAAGGGAGGAATATCAAAGGAGAAATATGAAGGACAGAACATAAAGGGAGGAACAGGAAAGAGAACACAAAGAAAGAACATGAAAGAGGAACAAGATGTGAGAAACATGGAAGGAATAGGAAAAAAAGGAACATGGAAGGAGGAAGACACAAAAGAAATAACATTAAGGAAAAAACTTTAAGGAAGAACATGAAGGGAGGAAAATGGAAGGAACATGAAAGTAGGAACATAAAGGGGGGAACATGAAAGAAAGAACATGAAGGAAGAAATATGAAGGAAGAACAAGATGACAGGAACATGAAGGGATAAACTTAAACAATACGGAAAAGAAAAGGAACATTATGCAAGAAACAGGAAGGCCAAAAAAAAAAACCGAATAAAACCAGGGATACAAAACACGGACAAAGGAAGTCTAAAAAGACATAAGAAAACACATTATGGGAGTCGTTGTGGTGCAGCGGATAGATGCTTACCTGTGGATCAGAAGGTCATGGAATCAAGTCCTGGCAAAACAGGGCTTTCTTCAAAAACTGACCTTGGCTCTCAGGTGGATCCAGCCTTGAGTGGGTCCCAGGTGGACCCAACCTTGAGTGGGTAACAGGTGGACCCAGCCTTGAGTGGCTCCCAGGTGGATCCAGCCTTGAGTGGGTCCCAGGTGGATCCAGCCTTGAGTGGCTCCCAGGTGGATCCAGCCTTGAGTGGCTCCCAGGTGGATCCAGCCTTGAGTGGGTCCCAAGTGGATCCAGCCTTGAGTGGGTCTCAGGTGGATCCAGCCTTGAGTGGGTCCCAGGTGGTCCTGGGAAGCAAAGGCGGCCAGCGTGATGTGACCACATCACCCACCAAGTGCTGATTGGTCTATAAAAAAAGGTCTAGCCCTATATGCCTAATAAGCCTGAACAAGGGTCCTTTACTTACCTGTTTCACTACTGTTGCTGAAGGATATACATTTCACAGATGAGAAGGAAAAGAGAGGTAGATGGAAACATAAAGGATGGAAATCAAGCAATGAAGTACCAGCTGAAAATTTAGGGGCCAGCAACAACCACAATACCTCCAAGTTTGAAGGTTTCAGTTCAGCTGAGGCAGAGGTTGAGTTCTCTTTACGCTTCAACTTCTTCCCTTTGTGTTTCTGTTTGCTGGACAACTCAGTATTATTGTCTGCCTTCTCAACGGCTGCATCAATTTTCACCTCATCCAAGCACTGTTGAACAATTTTCTTGGCAGAATCTTTATCTGCATCATCCTCATCATCACTGACATCAACCATGCCTGCAGCGCCGGCAGTCTGAGCAGTGTTGTCAGCGTCAGAGTCCACAGTGTCCGAATCTGGGAATAGTAAGAGAGTCATTGGTTATATAATCACTGTCGAAGAGTCAGGGCATGGCAAATGTGTACACATATCCTCTAAGACTCTAAGGGGGGCAAACCAATCTCTGTGTACAGACATTCTCCAAGAGTCCAAGGATGACAAACCAATGTCTGTGTACACACATTCTCCATGAGTCCAAGGATGACAAACCAATGTCTGTGTACACACATTCTCCAAGAGTCCAAGGATGACAAACCAATGTCTGTGTACACACATTCTCCAAGAGTCCAAGAATGACAAACCAATGTCTGTGTACAAACACTCTCCAAGAGTCAGGGAATGGCAAACCATTATCTGTGTACAAACATTAACCAAGGGTCAGGGAATAGCAAACCAAAATCTGTGTACAAACATTCACCAAGAGTCAAGGATGGCAAACCAATATCTGTGTACAAACATTCACCAAGAGTCAGGGAATGGCAAACCAATATCTGTGTACAAACATTCACCAAGAGTCAGGGAATGGCAAACCAATATCTGTGTACAAACATTCACCAAGAGTCAGGGAATGGCAAACCAATATCTGTGTACAAACATTCACCAAGAGTCAGGGAATGGCAAACCAATATCTGTGTACAAACATTCACCAAGAGTCAGGGAATGGCAAACCAATATCTGTGTTGAATATTGAATAAAGAATCCACATCACAGCACTAGGGACATAAGCGCTCTGTCCCCATCTTTAGCAGCAAAGAGTTGCAATTCCCATGGAACCAGTAACCTGCACATGTCCCAACATGCCAGCATGACCTGGAGTAAATATCCAAACGGCGCTAACTACCCAGGACCTCTGAAGTGATGCTTGCCACTCTTCACGGAACATGCCTGTCTCCACTGTTCTCAGCATGCTCTGTGAGTCAGTGACAAACATGTCCAATTGTGTCTTCTGCTTCTTCTGCTTGCCCAAGGTGCCAGCTTGACAAAATTACAATAAAAAAACACAGGACACCGAGATCATAAGGCTTTCATTTTCTTCCTTGTGTTATGCTGCTGTCTTGTTCTGTTTTGTTCTGCTGTCTAGTTCTGTTGTGTTGTTCTGTTCTATTGTATTGTTTTGTTGTTCTGCTGTCTTGTTTTGTTGTGTTGTTCTGCTGTGTTGTTTTGTTGTTCTGCTGTTGTCTTGTTCTATTATGTTGTTCTGTTGTGTTGCTTTGTTCTGTTGTCTTATGTTTTTGAAGATCAAAATTCCAGGTACTCTTTGTGTGACAGCAAGCAAAATCAAATGTCAAGCTTTTTCATGATGTTTTCCAGGTCTGTTTTCACGAGCCTGAAACTTTAAATAGTCACTTCTAGGTTGTTTCTATTTTCACCGCCCGCTACAACTAATGTGCTACACTCACCAATGGAAGACTTGTCAGCTTGTTGTTTCTGAAGCTCCTTCAGCTTATCCATCAAGACTTTGTCCTGCTGCAAACCTTTCAGGACTCTCTGAGCATCCAGCTCAATCTCTTTAGCTGCCTGGGACATCAGTCGCTGAATCTCCTCCAGATCCAGTTCACTTTCAGCCGCTGCAGCTGCTCCTGTAACAATATTATACACAACAATGTAATATAAACAACATACACAACAATGGAATATGAATAATATGTATACACACAATAATTTAATATGAACAACATACACAACAACATAAACAACAATATAAAATAAATAACACACAATGGAGAAATCCACGCAATCAGAAAGCAGATAGGCTCAGCCTTGCAGGAACACAATCAAAAGTGAGAGAAGGGACATGCAGCCATTTTAAGCAAAAGAAAAAAAGACACCAACAACATGACCAAACCACACGGTATATAGCTAAAAAGGGTGGACCCAGCAGAGTAAACATGACCAAACCACATGGTATATAGCTAAAAAGGGTGGACCCAGCAGAGTAAACATGACCAAACCACATGGTATATAGCTAAAAAGGGTGGACCCAGCAGAGTAAACATGACCAAACCACAAGGTATATAGCTGAAAGAGTGAGCCCAGCAGAGTAAACATGACCAAACCACAAGGTATATAGCTGAAAAAGGTGGACCCAGCAGAGTATATAGCTAAAAAGGGTGGACCCATGACCAAAACCACATGGTATATAGAAAGAGTGAGCCCAGCAGATAGCTGACCAAAAAAGGTATATAGCTGAAAAAGGTGGACCCAGCAGAGTAAACATGACCAAACCACATGATATATAGCTGAAAAGAGTGAGCCCAGCAGAGTAAACATGACCAAACCACACGGTATATAGCTGAAAAGAGTGGACCCAGCAGAGTAAACATGACCAAACCACGCGGTATATAGCTGAAAAGGGTGGACCCAGCAGAGTAAACATGACCAAACCACGCGGCATATAGCTAAAAAGGGTGGACCCAGCAGAGTAAACATGACCAAACCACATGGTAAATAGCTGAAAAGAGTGGACCCAGCAGATTAAACCTGAAATGTCCTTCTCCTGTAAAATTAAAATACAATTCTAGAGCTAGCTAAGGAAACATCCTGGAAGAAATAATAGAAGAAAATCTCACATAGAACAAGCCACACTAACAAAGAAGCAAAGGAGGTGCAAATATGTAAGATCAGAGAATAAAGACTTCACAACAGTTATAAATGAATGAACAAACAAACTTTACTTTGAGTAAAGAAGACAAAAACAATAAATTGTATATTTCACTGTATCTTGTGCTACTACAGTAACATTTACACAAATGAAGCAAATAAGTGAATCCTTTATAACTGAAATACAAATTTAACAACAATCTAACATGACTGTCTGTTTTACCAGGGCAGCTGCAGTGTCAGAATCATGTCTTTTTGTTTACAAAGTTCAGGGGTTATAAACTTATAAAGGATTCACTTATTTGCTTCATTGATGTAATTGTTACTGTAGTATGTACCTGATGAGATACAGTGAAATATGCCAGGCAATTCATTGTGGAATTTATTATTTGTGTCTTCTTTGTTCAAATTTTCAAGGAGAACATTTTGCTTTAAACTTTGTTTATTTTTCATGAAGTTACCTGGATATCAGACACACCATAATGATGTAAACTGCTGAAATGCATAGAAATCATTTAAAGGCTTCACTAGTAATGTCAAAAGGATGTTACCTGAATCTGTCAGCCAAGTGTCAGCTCAACTTGCCAGTTTTTTTCATGTTACAATGTTCCGATGTGATGGCAGAAAAAAACATGAAGCCGGTACTAGAAACACTCTCATAAATGGTAACATTAAGGTATGCCAGAATCATCACCGGTGCTAGAAACACCCTCATGAATGAAAACATTAAGGTATGCCAGAATCATCACTGGTGCTAGAAACACCCTCATAAATGGTAACACTGGAGTATGCCAGAATCATCACCGGTACTAGAAACACTCTCATGAATGGTAACACTTGGGTATGCCAGAATATGCCAGAACACCCTCATGATCACATTGCTAGAAAATCATCACTCTAGAAACACCCTCATGAATGAAAACATTAAGGTATGCCAGAATCATCACTGGTGCTAGAAACACCCTCATAAATGGTAACACTGGGGTATGCCAGAATCATCACCCGTGCTAGAAACACCCTCATGAATGGTAACACTGAGGTATGCCAGAATCATCACCCGTGCTAGAAATAGCCTCATGAATGGTAACACTGAGGTATGCCTGAACTGTCATCAGTAGTTGATATGACAGTTGTGACAATGAAGTCCATGCCAAAATCTGACTGGATCATGCAAGAAACACTATCACCTCACCAGACACCAGAAACCAGGCAACAACACTGGGGTATGCAGCAGAATCATCACCCCAGTGCTAGAAACAGACTCATGAATGGTAACACTGACGTATGAAACCAGACATCATCACCAGACAGCAGTGCACCAGAAGAAATAGCTTCATGAATGGTAACACTGAGGTATGCCTGAACTGTCATCAGTAGTTGATATGACAGTTGTGACAATGAAGTCCACGATATGCCAGTGTATGGAGATCAGGCAAGAAACGGTTAAACTTAAGGCCAAGGCACTATCACCAGACACCAGACACCAGACAGCAGACAGCAGACAGCAGCAATGAACTCACACACAATACTCATCAGTTTGTTAAAATGCAACAATCTTCATACTCAATTATCTCCCTTACCTGCCCTCTCCATTTGAATATTTCTGTCATCTGGGCTGCAGCCATGACCTATAGATCCGATCTTGTCGACCTTATTGAGGTCATTGACTTGGTGTACTCCCTTGTCAGCCAGATTCAGGTTGTTGCTATCGATGACTACTTTAGTTCCTATAAATAACAAAATCAATATTGTCAACAGCAGGCACCATATCAGCTGGTTCAATAAATATCCCCATTACGTGATAAGCTATGTTGCACTGTTTCGTCAAACTTTTGGCTCAATATCAAGCATTTCTTGTCTAATTTGTTGCATCTAGCCTTCAACTGCAAGTCCATGGCTTAGCCGTTGTGAGTGTGACTCGTAATTCCAACATACCGCGATCAAACCCACTGCTAGCTGTGTGGATTTTTATCATGGTGTGGAGTGTCACAGGTCGACCCGAGTGTCGCAGGTCGACCCAGCCTGAAATGGGAACCAGAATCTATGTCCTTGGAGGAAAGACGGCCGCGTAATGCTGGCCACATGACCAACCGTGTGCTGATTGGCCTGTAAAAATATGGGTGCTCTTTCCATACGCCCGATGTGACTAAAGGCCTGAAAAGGGATCTGTACTTTACTTTACTAGCCTTTAACTGCAAGGATGTAGGTTTGTTTTCTTTAATTGTCCCCAGTCTAGCTGCAAGGATGTAGGTTTGTTTTCTTTAATTGTCCCCAGTCTAGCTGCAAGGATGTAGGTTTGTTTTCTTTAATTGTCCCCAGTCTAGCTGCAAGGATGTAGGTTTGTTTTCTTTAATTGTCCCCAGTCTTGCTGCAAGGATGTAGGTTTGTTTTCTTTAATTGTCCCCAGTCTTGCTGCAAGGATGTAGGTTTGTTTTCTTTAATTGTCCCCAGTCTAGCTGCAAGGATGTAGGTTTGTTTTCTTTAATTGTCCCCAGTCTTGCTGCAAGGATGTAGGTTTGTTTTCTTTAATTGTCCCCAGTCTTGCTGCAAGGATGTAGGTTTGTTTTCTTTAATTGTCCCCAGTCTTGCTGCAAGGATGTAGGTTTGTTTTCTTTAATTGTCCCCAGTCTACCTGCAAGGATGTAGGTTTGTTTTCTTTAATTGTACCCAGTCTAGCTGCAAGGATGTAGGTTTGTTTTCTTTAATTGTCCCCAGTCTAGCTGCAAGGATGTAGGTTTCTTTTCTTTAATTGTCCCCAGTCTACCTGCAAGGATGTAGGTTTGTTTTCTTTAATTGTCCCCAGTCTAGCTGCAAGGATGTAGGTTTGTTTTCTTTAATTGTCCCCAGTCTAGCTGCAAGGATGTAGGTTTGTTTTCTTTAATTGTCCCCAGTCTTGCTGCAAGGATGTAGGTTTGTTTTCTTTAATTGTCCCCAGTCTTGCTGCAAGGATGTAGGTTTGTTTTCTTTAATTGTCCCCAGTCTTGCTGCAAGGATGTAGGTTTGTTTTCTTTAATTGTCCCCAGTCTAGCTGCAAGGATGTAGGTTTGTTTTCTTTAATTGTCCCCAGTCTACCTGCAAGGATGTAGGTTTGTTTTCTTCAATTGTCCCCAGTCTAGCTGCAAGGATGTAGGTTTGTTTTCTTTAATTGTCCCCAGTCTTGCTGCAAGGATGTAGGTTTGTTTTCTTCAACTGTCCCCAGTCTGTTTTCTACAAATGTTCTGAGTCTACTGTGTCTGCATACTATGGACAGTTTGTCTGGGACAATCCAGCATGTGAGGCAATGAGCAGGCTGATAGATAAGCGAGATTCAGCGAGGGGTGGGCCCGGGTTCAACGCTGAAGGAAAAACCAAGAAACTTTGAATCAAACTGACCCTGGCACTGTTAGAATGGGAACTATTCACTGGTGACTGTGGAAGGAAACTGAGCACGTGTGGGAATTTAATGAGAGCAGTGAGTTCATTCTTGATTCATTTATTCATTAAACCTATGATCTTTCTGACACTGGAGACCTTACCAGTAGCTCAACAACTGGTGTGACTCATGGGAGACCTTACCAGTAGCTCAACTACTGGTGTGACTCATGGGAGACCTTACCAGTAGTACAACTACTTTTGTGACTCATGGGAGACCTTACCAGTAGCTCAACTACTTTTGTGACTCATGGGAGACCTTACCAGTAGCTCAACTACTGGTGTGACTCATGGGAGACCTTACCAGTAGCTCAACTACTTTTGTGACTCATGGGAGACCTTACCAGTAGCTCAACTACTGGTGTGACTCATGGGAGACCTTACCAGTAGCTCAACTACTGGTGTGACTCAGGGAAGACCTTACCGGTAGCCCAACTACTGGTGTGTCTCATGGGAGACCTTACCAGTAGCTCAACTACTGGTGTGACTCATGGGAGACCTTACCGGTAGCCCAACTACTGGTGTGACTCATGGGAGACCTTACCGGTAGCCCAACTACTGGTGTGACTCATGGGAGACCTTACCAGTAGCTCAACTACTGGTGTGACTCATGGGAGACCTTACCGGTAGCCCAACTACTGGTGTGACTCATGGAAGAGACTTACCAGTAGCTCAACTACTGGTGTGACTCATGGGAGACCTTACCAGTAGCTCAACTACTGGTGTGACTCATGGGAAACCATACCAGTAGCTCAACTACTGGTGTGACTCATGGAACTCATGTCATTTGCCAACCGAAGAACAAAAGATGTGAGCTGCTAGTTTGTAAATACCTACTTTGTCTTGTGTCAGATATAACTTACAAGTGGCTGGTTAAATGGTTTTCAGATCTTGTACCTGGACATATGAGTTCTCATTCCTATAAGGTGGCAAACGTTCTGGACATCCTGTAGCAGGGATGTTGTAGTAACTGCTATTATGGCTCACCAGAAAGCCACTAAGTCCTTAGTTAACTTTCATGTATTTACATTCAACATACTTCCAACTAGCTAAATCAACCTGCCTAACAACATTCTCTACAACCAAATCTACCTGTATGACTAGGTATACTTGTAGCTTTCACAGTTTACCTCCACAATGTACTATCTATATGAGAACTTTAGACATTTATACCTGGATTTAATTTATGAAATGCTGTTTACCTTGAGTGTGGTTATGGGCTTTAGAGGTTAGTGAAATTGTTTCACAATCCAATCTTTGATGTACTAGGACTATTTGTATGGCCTACTATTGTCCAAAAACAAAGACTATTCTTGTGACTGTCAGGCTGTGGTATAAGAGTTGCACTGCAGAAGAGACTGAGACCTCATACAATATTCTAAGCAACAGCAGCAGGTGCAGGCACGGCAGATGACCTCCCTTCTGTTTCCTTCTCCCTCAGCCATCAGCAGGTCAGTGACAAATGTCTCATACTTTGCCAATCTATGGGTGTAAACAAGATTGAAGAACCCTCATCTATGGACTGGGGTAGTCAGTCTCACAACCACCATCCTCAGTCAGTTCTTACAACATGCTGTAATGGTTACAAGAACCTTCATCTACAGATTGAGGTAGTCAGTCTCACAACCACCCTCCTCAGTCAGTTCTCACATGCCGTGATGGTTACAGAGGTACTATCCCTCCCACAGGTACCCCAAAAACTAAGTTAAGTATTATTATTTGACTATTATTTCTGCTATTAGACAGCAGGTGGTTGTGATGTTGCTCTAGCGTCAAAGTCTTGTGGGTGCACAATGCTGGCAGTTGGTACAAAACCACATCATGTGCCTGCTCTAACATACCAGTTCTGACCGCAAATAATTGGGTTTTTTTCTTTTGTGAGAACACAGCAGCTGTTAGTAAAACATGATTGAATATCTATCAAACTTTGTGATGTTCATCCCTATAATGGTACAGCTGGCCTGGTGCTGCCTTCAATTTGTGGTATCTTCACTTATTAAAAATGATATCACATCTCTACCACCCACCCACCAACCCATGCACACACCCACATGTGTGCAAGAATGCATGCACAAGCATGCACGCACGCGCACACACACACACACACACACATACACACGCCTGCACACAATGAAAGCACACACTATACCATCTGCTTGCCGAAGTCTGGCAAGCCTGTCTTCCACTTCCTGTGCGGGATCAGGTCTTAAAGAGTCGATATCCACCTCGGCCAGCAGCTGATCAATCAGGTCATCGACCTGCTGTGTTTCTGACTTGCGGACAGCTGGTTTATATATCTGAAAATAGGATATTGTAAGTGAGAATGGAATGTTGTGTGTAACAAGTTGACAAACTACGGAATGTTGTGTGTAACAAGTTGACAAACTAGGGAATGTTGTGTGTAACAAGTTGACAAACTAGGGAATGTTGTGTGTAACAAGCTGACAAACTAGGGAATGTTGTGTGTAACAAGCTGACAAACTACAGAATGTTGTGTGTAACAAGTTGACAAACTACGGAATGTTGTGTGTAACAAGTTGACAAACAACGGAATGTTGTGTGTAACAAATTGACAAACTATTTATATTTAGTTCACAAAATTGACAAGTTTCAATTTAATGTGCCTGTATGTTAACATCTAAAAGTCAAGATAAGTCTGATGTTGACAACTGCAAGGTTAGTATGTCTATATGTTGACCCTCTACATACAGACCTACGTCTACAAGCTGATCACCTACAGATCTATATCTACAAGGTGACCACCTACAGATCTGTAAGACTACAAGGTGACCACCTACAGATCTATATCTACAAGGTGACCACCTACAGATCTGTAAGACTACAAGGTGAGCACCTACAGATCTATATCTACAAGGTGACCACCTACAGATCTGTAAGACTACAAGGTGACCATCTACAGATCTATAAGTCTACAAGGTGACCACCTACAGATCTGTAAGACTACAAGGTGACCACCTACAGATCTGTAAGTCTACAAGGTGACCACCTACAGATCTATAAGTCTACAAGGTGACCACCTATAGATCTATAAGTCTACAAGGTGACCAGCTACAGATCTATAAGTCTACAAGGTGACCACCTACAGATCTGTAAGACTACAAGGTGACCACCTACAGATCTGTAAGTCTACAAGGTGACCACCTACAGATCTGTAAGTCTACAAGGTGACCACCTACAGATCTATAAGTCTACAAGGTGACCACCTACAGATCTATAAGTCTACAAGGTGACTACCTACAGATCTATAAGACTACAAGGTGACCATAAAAAGATCTATAAATCTATAAGGTGACCACTTAAAGATCTATAAGTCTACAAGGTGACCACCTAAAGATCTATAAATCTACAAAAGTGATGACCAACAGATCTATGAGTCTACAAGTTGATCCCAGCCAGAATGCATCTGCTGATTCTCCACCCTGAGTATACATTGTTTAGGTCTCCACAGATACAAAGTTACGGTTTCAGTGCAGCAAACCCTCCTAGTATTTTAAAATCTTGGATAACTCTTTACCATAGACCTCAAAATGATGAATATAAAATGTCACCTATATATATAATGTATAATATATAATGTCACTGGAAAACTCTGTGAAATGAAAGACACAGAACAAGTGAAGTTTTCACCAATGTAAAAAAAAAAAAAACTCAGGTAACAAACACGTGAACAGTCAGAGACTCACAGGCTTCGCTTCAGGCACATGATGTTGACCTTTCAGCTGGGCCAACCTGGTTTGTAGATCAGCATCTGTCACTTTTTCTGTCAAGATAAAATAATTTTCTGAAATCAGACATCTGTCTCCACTGTGACACAAATAAATAATCCCCTAGAATCAGACAACTGTCTCCACTGTGACACAAATAAATAATCCCCTAGAATCAGACAACTGTCTCCACTGTGACACAAATAAATAATCCCCTAGAATCAGACAACTGTCTCCACTGTGACACAAATAAATAATCCCTTAGAATCAGACAACTGTCTCCACTGTGACACAAATAAATAATCCTCTAGAATCAGACAACTGTCTCCACTGTGACACAAATAAATAATCCCTTAGAATCAGACAACTGTCTCCACTGTGACACAAATAAATAATCCTCTAGAATCAGACAACTGTCTCCACTGTGACACAAATAAATAATCCTCTAGAATCAGACAACTGTCTCCACTGTGACACAAATAAATAATCCTCTAGAATCAGACAACTGTCTCCACTGTGACACAAATAAATAATCCTCTAGAATCAGACAACTGTCTCCACTGTGACACAAATAAATAATCCCTTAGAATCAGACAACTGTCTCCACTGTGACACAAATAAATAATCCTCTAGAATCAGACAACTGTCTAGACTGTGACACAAATAAATAATCCCCTAGAATCAGACAACTGTCTCCACTGTGACACAAATAAATAATCCCTTAGAATCAGACAACTGTCTCCACTGTGACACAAATAAATAATCCTCTAGAATCAGACAACTGTCTAGACTGTGACACAAATAAATAATTCCCTAGAATCAGACAACTGTCTAGACTGTGACACAAATAAATAATCCTCTAGAATCAGACAACTGTCTCCACTGTGACACAAATAAATAATCCCTTAGAATCAGACAACTGTCTCCACTGTGACACAAATAAATAATCCCCTAGAATCAGACAACTGTCTCCACTGTGACACAAATAAATAATCCCTTAGAATCAGACAACTGTCTCCACTGTGACACAAATAAATAATCCCCTAGAATCAGACAACTGTCTCCACTGTGACACAAATAAATAATCCCCTAGAATCAGACAACTGTCTCCACTGTGACACAAATAAATAATCCCCTAGAATCAGACAACTGTCTCCACTGTGACACAAATAAATAATCCCTTAGAATCAGACAACTGTCTCCACTGTGACACAAATAAATAATCCTCTAGAATCAGACAACTGTCTCCACTGTGACACAAATAAATAATCCTCTAGAATCAGACAACTGTCTAGACTGTGACACAAATAAATAATCCCCTAGAATCAGACAACTGTCTCCACTGTGACACAAATAAATAATCCTCTAGAATCAGACAACTGTCTCCACTGTGACACAAATAAATAATCCCCTAGAATCAGACAACTGTGTAGACTGTGACACAAATTTATAGAAAAACAATTCAAGAATAAAGTGTGTTGATACAATTGTGACATAAAAAAAATGATAAGAATAAAGATGGAACAAAATTGTGAAACACTGTTATGCAACAGGGATATCTGAGGGGCTACAAATGAAAAACTTATAAGCGATAGAAATTGCAATAATTTTGCCAGTGTCTTGCAATCTGTCAATATTGTTGTTAAGGATGTTAAGAGTGTTAAGCATATGGTACCACAGTGCAAATTAACAAAAGACATCATAATCTAAGTTTAAATATGACCGCCTGAGTTCCGTGACCTGTTTTCTGATCAGTAAAGGGAGAAACCTAAAGAAATTCATTTAATAAAGGTTTGCAATAGTGATGCATGCCTGTCTGTCCAGAAATTTGTGGTTTTCTGTTCGAGGCCTTTAATGGCTGCAATCAACTCTGGGGTAAGTATGTCAAACCTGTTCACGAAAAGTATGTCACAGAAGTAACGCCATTCTGAAACTTCCTTCTCCACTCACACACTTGATCGACCTACAGGTAGCCATCTTCAGACTGTTATTATGACGTCTCAATATTCATCTGCACTGTGAAGTTATGTACTTAACACTCTTAACATCCTTAACAATAATACTAAACAGATTACAAGAATGTGGCATGGTTAATGCAAATTTCTATCTATATTTCTATGGTGTATGGGTATAAGAACTGATATCATGGTGTATAGGTACAACAACTTATATGATGGTATGTAACCAATATATCAAACCTTTTGGTTTGCCATCAGCTTTCAACTTCTCGAGTCGCATGGCAATTTCCCTGTCAGCTTTGTCCAACTTGCGTAGATGCTCTGGAATGACTGTGCCCCCTCCAGATGGGTGACCAGCGTGAGACGTATGTCCTCCTGTCTCTCTCTCCTGGAGGGCAGTCAATCTTCTGTGGAAACAAATATTTGTTTGCGAAGGCAAATTATGGACGAGTTCACAGTGTGTTGCTAAGCTATTACCATTATCACCATAATCGTGAAACTAATATTATCACATAATCTACATCATATCACTACATTATCAACATCATAGTACCACATTATCTACATCATATAGCTACATTATCAACATCATATCACTACAGCATCTACATCATATCACTGCATCATCTAAATCATATCAGTACATTATCTATATTATAGCACCACATTACCTACATCATATAACTAAATCATCTAAATCATATCATATACATCATCTACATCATATCATATACATCATCTACATGATATCATCACATCATCTACATCATATCATCACATCATCTACATCATATCATCACATCATCTACATCATATCAATACATCATCTACATGATATCATCAAATCATCTACATTATATCATCATATCATCTACATCATATCATCACATCATCTACATCAGGGCTATTCAGCCAAGTTTACTCATGGGCCATAATTTTGAAAAAGGGAGATCATAACGAGCCAGAAGTCTGAGCTTCAGCGTAGGAAGATTATGAATACAATACAACTGGCAATGACTGGCGGGCCATTTGCTGGGTCTCCCTGGGCTGCCAGTTGAACAGCCCTGACCTACATGACATCACCACATCACCTACATGACACCACCACATCACCTACATGACATTACCACATCACCTACATGACATTACCACATCACCTACATGATATTACCACATCACCTACATGATATCACCACATCATCTACATGACATTACCACATCATCTACATGATATTACCACATCATCTACATGACATTACCACATCATCTACATGACATCACCACATCACCTACATGACATTACCACATCACCTACATGACATTACCACATCATCTACATGACATTACCACATCACCTACATGACATTACCACATCACCTACATGACATTACCACATCATCTACATGACATTACCACATCATCTACATGATATCACCACATCACCTACATGATATCACCACATCACCTACATGACATCACCACATCACCTACATGAAATCACCACATCATCTACATGACATTACCACATCATCTACATGATATTACCACATCATCTACATGACATTACCACATCACCTACATGACATCACCACATCACCTACATGACATTACCACATCACCTACATGACATTACCACATCATCTACATGACATTACCACATCATCTACATGATATCACCACAACACCTACATGATATCACCACATCACCTACATGATATCACCACATCACCTACATGATATCACCACGTCACCTACATGACATCACCACATCATCTACATGATATTACCACATCATCTACATGACATTACCACATCATCTACATGATATTACCACATCATCTACATGACATTACCACATCATCTACATGACATTACCACATCATCTACATGATATTACCACATCACCTACATGACATGACCACATCACCTACATGACATCACCACAACACCTACATGATATCACCACAACACCTACATGATATCACCACATCACCTACATGATATCACCACATCACATTGTATGTGTGTATATCTGAATGCATGTATTTGCCATACATGCTTTTGAGTTTTTTTATTTGATATTTATATTATGTATATTGTTATATGAACATTAAATGCTAAATATATAAATTTAAAATGTATTGCTGAAAGACGAGTGTTTGGAAAGGCCAAATGAAAGACAAACTAAACATGTGTGTCCAATTTGTGAGCCTTTGAAAATAAAGTTAATTTGTTCGTTCACCTGCATCACATCACCATATCTTTAGCATATTTAATGTAATGGCTGAAAATGTAACTCACTTCCAAGTTCCCAAATTTATGGTTGAGTTTTTGTTAATACCAACCTCATGTCATTCATATTATTCAGTGTGACCTCATCTGGGGTCACAAACTATAGGCTGAGAACCCCTACTTACAGCAGTATATTAAGTCACAGCTGTACTTACTTAATATAGGCCTCAGGTAGATCATATGTCTGCTGCTCGGAACTCGGTGGCACAGCTCTGGCAAGAAGTGAGCAACAAAGTGAATCAATCAATGATACATCAAGTGAAGTGGTAAACAAGTTAAACTAGTCAAATACACACTACCTATCTCATATGTTTAACCTCTATACCATTTTTATATACAGCTGTCTCCATGTCAATCTGAGAACTGTTTTTCAAGCAGTCAGTAAAAGATCTGGGAGATAGGTTAGATTCTGGCATGCTGACCATGTTACAATATCTGCTGCCATTATCAGTATCAACATGAAGAATGGGCTTACTGCACTCTCAACATATCTATAGATGCTCAGTATCATTTACCCATGCTCTGTTTGCATGTGAATTTGTTTCATATTTCTAAAGAACATAACAGAGAATTGCAGAACTGTTTCTCTTCTTTTTTCTCCCCTTCCTCATCTCTGTACTTCTTTGTTCATGTTTGTTTGACTGCAAGAGTCAAGATACGAAACAAACTTTGGATCCTGCATCGTGCACTATTGTGCTTGTCACCATCTGTTACAAGGACATTTGTAGCTTTACCCTTACAGATTGAGTCTGAGCAATATTTGGGGAAGGAAAGGGGAGCGGGTGAACTTTTGTCTGTGAAAGCTCTGATACATGACTAGCCTGGGAATGTGCTCTCTGTACTCACCGGCTACTGCAGTGGTAAACACAACCCACCCAGGGTAGCTGGAAACTCTACACACAATCTGACAGGAGACAGCTCCTTCCCTGTCAAACCTTTCTACTTCATCATATCCCAGGACAGTGTTTGTAGCTGGAAACTCTACACACAATCTGACAGGAGACAGCTCCTTCCCTGTCAAACCTTTCTACTTCATCATATCCCAGGACAGTGTTTGTAGCTGGAAACTCTACACACAATCTGACAGGAGGCAGCTCCTTCCCTGTCAAACCTTTCTACTTCATCATATCCCAGGACAGTGTTTGTAGCTGGAAACTCTACACACAATCTGACAGAAGACAGCTCCTTCCCTGTCAAACCTTTCTACTTCATCATATCCCAGGACAGTGTTTGTAGCTGGAAACTCTACACACAATCTGACAGAAGACAGCTCCTTCCCTGTCAAACCCTTCTACTTCATCATATCCCAGGACAGTGTTTGTAGCTGGAAACTCTACACACAATCTGACAGAAGACAGCTCCTTCCCTGTCAAACCTTTCTACTTCATCATATCCCAGGACAGTGTTTGTAGCTGGAAACTCTACACACAATCTGACAGAAGACAGCTCCTTCTCTGTCAAACCTTTCTACTTCATCATATCCCAGGACAGTGTTTGTAGCTGGAAACTCTACACACAATCTGACAGAAGACAGCTCCTTCCCTGTCAAACCCTTCTACTTCATCATATCCCAGGACAGTGTTTGTAGCTGGAAACTCTACACACAATCTGACAGAAGACAGCTCCTTCCCTGTCAAACCTTTCTACTTCATCATATCCCAGGACAGTGTTTGTAGCTGGAAACTCTACACACAATCTGACAGAAGACAGCTCCTTCCCTGTGAAAACCTTCTACTTCATCATATCCCAAGACAGTGTTTGGGGGACTAGAACGTAACGTATTAACCTGGTGCAAGGTAAATTCATTTTCCTGTTATATTTGTATAAATCCCCTGTGTGGGTTCCGGGGCCCTATTGTGGGGAAAACAAGAATAGACCCACTGCCTCCCCAAAAGCATGTCGTAAGAGTCGACTAATTGGGAAGCTTCCTTTGAAGTCGGAGTGCATCTGCCGGAGAGGCAAGGAACCAACAGTCTGTATTCAAGAGAATGAGATCTGTAAAACTGATGCACACGCAACACTCAGGTTCTGGAGCAGGACTGCAGTTCAGTAGTGGACGAGCAACCAGAACCTTCCGCCAGAGTTTACAGCTGGTGAACGTGAAGAAGAAGAAGAATTTGTATAAATATATTCAATGAGTTTTCATTTTATAGAACTCCAAACATGTTTATAAATCTCTTAAACATATAAGAATATTATAATATTTTACATATATATATATATATATATTTGTTTAATATCAGTTTCCCTGCATTTTTTTGCAGTATTTTTTCACAAATGCTGGAAGTTCTGCTTTCACTCCTATCAGAGCAACTGGCACACTGCATTGTAGTTGAAGCTAAGCTGTAATATCTTTGAGCCTTTTGGCCCAACATATATGACAGGCAGACCCTGAATGGGTCACCATTTCTAAAACATGCTTGTGAAGAGGCCCTAGAACTGACACGTTGAGGATTAGTAGGTCTATTCTTTCTACCCCTTAAAGTGGGGCCCCAACACCCACATAAAAAACATTCTTGTTGATGATTCGTGGATTTATTCAAGCTTCCCCTCATATGGGGTCCCAGAACCCACACTGGGAACCAGCTGGAACTATCTGTGACATTTTGATAAAATATGATATTACACACCGACGAGGCTAGCAGAGACAATTTAACAAGGTCACTAACCCTGTGAGAATTTTGAAGCACTTGTGGCATACATGATGTTTGGCGTTATTTTTCTTTGGGACTGGGAGGCTCTTGTCATTCAAGCACCTGCTGCAGAAAGCAAAGCCGCAGTTTTTACATCCATGCTGAAACATAGCAGTACCAGAGCAAATTTTAACACAGTACAACATTCTTTCAACCATGTGAAAACATAGCAGTACCAGAGGAAATGTTAACATAGTACAACATTCTTTTAACCATAACAGTGTCCGAAATGTTATACTACATTATAATATGGTCTAGACACTGTTCAGTATCTGAACTCTCAGTACACAGAGTTAAGACAATCAGTCTCCACACCAGGGGGCTGTTTCCAAGGCAACACATTACAACAGGCACTTGGGAGAAAGCCAAGAGGCATGATACATGTTTCAGGCTTCAGCAGACTTCATGCAGTGGATGGTATTGATTCCCTCAACAGGAGAGGATGGCATTCCTGGGATAGTTAAAAGGATGCCTAGTTTTCTCAGATAAGGAGGAAAATCCAGAATGACTTGGATGTATCTGGGCACATTCAAACCTCCTTCGCATTTATCTTGGAACGAGACAGAGCAGGCTAACAAGGCCACTGCTCAGGCTAACAAGGCCACTGCTCAGGCTAACAAGGTCACTGCTCAGGCAAACAAGGCCACTGCTCAGGCTAACAAGGCCACTGCTCAGGCAAACAAGGCCACTGCTCAGGCTAACAAGGCCACTGCTCAGGCAAACAAGGCCACTGCTCAGGCAAACAAGGCCACTGCTCAGGCAAACAAGGCCACTGCTCAGGCAAACAAGGCCACTGCTCAGGCTAACAAGGTCACTGCTCAGGCAAACAAGGCCACTGCTCAGGCTAACAAGGCCACTGCTCAGGCAAACAAGGCCACTGCTCAGGCAAACAAGGCCACTGCTCAGGCAAACAAGGCCACTGCTCAGGCAAACAAGGCCACTGCTCAGGCTAACAAGGTCACTGCTCAGGCTAACAAGGCCACTGCTCAGGCAAAATATGCTCTTATTTCAAAATCTGCCTACAACAAAATATGTAAAGCTTGATTCTGGTATACACACATGTGGATCCTCCATGGTGCTATGAAGCATGTGCTTTGTGCTGAGATATTCCACATGTGATCTTAGGAAGGAAACTATACCACTAATGGAAGTATTTGTGAATGAGGACAGTGGTCTTTCACCAAGCTATCTTCTTCTTCTTCTGCATTCATCTGAGGAGCTAAAAGCACTGTGCTTATTTACAACACATCTGACTTGGTCAGTTATTTGTTGTCTTGTTAGATTTCCCAGAGACAAATCTATCTGAGAATTATTACCTAATTCAGATTAATAATTTAAGAACCAGGGCTTATGAAAATCTGGGTTTCTGAGCTTAAATGTTACCGAAATATCTTATAATATCAAAGAAAAACAATCTGGCACTCTATAATTTTTAAACACTGAAGGAAACTGGCTCATAAAGAGCATCTTGTCTCTGACACTGAAATACTTTGGTGATTACAAATATAACAGTGGCTTAGGAAAGAACAGTAATGAAGGACACTGTACCGGGAAAAAACAAAAATGGAGGACATTACAGTGTCCCAAAAAAACAGTAATGGAGGACAATGTTCTGAAGAAAGAACAGTAATGGAGGACATGGCATCAAGAAAGAACAGTAGTGGAGAATATGGTATTAAGAAAGAACAGTAGTGGAGAATATGGTATTAAGAAAGAACAGTAGTGGAGAATATGGTATTAAGAAAGAACAATAATGGAGGACATGGTACTGACAATGAACAGTAATGGAGGACATGGCATCAAGAAAGAACAGTAGTGGAGAATATGGTATTAAGAAAGAACAGTAGTGGAGAATATGGTATTAAGAAAGAACAGTAGGGAAGCACATGGTACCAAGAAAGAACATTAATAGAGGAAATGATGTATAGAAAAGAACAATGATGCAGGATAGGCTAATGAAAAAGGCAGGCAGGGATCAACCAGCATAAAGGTTGGTTCAACACATAGGAGGCATCTTGGGCAGGAAAGGTCATGAGTCAGAGGATCTGGTGGAGGACTAAGAATCTTTAAGGCCAGCTGTGATGACATTATGTAAATCACACTGTCAATTTGGTGGCCTGCGGGCCTTTGCCAGGCCACATGCGGTCCTTTGCCAGGCCACATGCGGTCCTTTGCCAGGCCACATGCGGTCCTTTGCCAGGCCACATGCGGTCCTTTGCCAGGCCACATGCGGTCCTTTGCCAGGCAACATACAGTTCTTTGCCAGGCCACATGCGGTCCTTTGCCGGGCCACATACAGTCCTTTGCCAGGCCACATGTGGTCCTTTGCCGGGCCACATGTGGTCCTTTGCCAGGCAACATACAGTTCTTTGCCAGGCCACATGCAGTCCTTTGCCGGGCCACATACAGTCCTTTGCCAGGCCACATGCGGTCCTTTGCAGGGCCACATGCGGTCCTTTGCCGAGCCACATGCGGTCCTTTACCAGGCCACATGCGGTCCTTCGCCGGGCCACATGCTGTTCTTTGCTAGCCCACCTGCAGCCCACATTAAGGAAAGTTTCTGTAATAATTTTTGTTAAATGACTCTAATTAGCTGTCGTGTGTGTGGCCCTCGTGGTGACAAAATGTGACCTATATGGGCCCCAGGGAACCCTCAGTTTGACCTGTTTGCTGTAAAGGACATGCTACATGATGATGATGATAATTTCAAAATTGAATTCACAGCATACAAGAGACAGCCACAGAGGCTACATCTCCCACGTCAAATGCTGAAAGGTGGACATGCCGACTCATCCATTTACAAACTAGTTGTAGATATGTCATTCCTGTTCTCTCGTTTGTACTCTGGATGGATTCCCCCTTATTTCCAAATGCACGCAACCTTAGATATGTTGAATCTCTAAGATAGTGTCTTTCTAACAAGGAACAATGTTAGATAATGACTCTAAGATAACCGCCTTCCAAGCATCACGGAAAACATTAGCAAGTTATGGCTATCTGAAATCATTATGCCTAAATAATTTGAGAATTATTACTCACAGAAAAATGTTAGAAGTTTAAGCTCTCTGATAATCATTACAGACTTGGAGAATAATTTTACAAGACAAAGCTATATGAAAAACTTCACTTTACTCACAGAAAAATTTTATAAGACAAAGCTATATGAAAAACTTCACTTTACTCACAGAAAAATTTTATAAGACAAAGCTATTGGAGAAGCTGTACCTACACAAAGTTAACACTACACAAAGTTAACACTACACAAAGTTAACACTACACAAAGTTAACACTACACAAAGTTAACACTACACAAAGTTAACACTACACAAAGTTAACACTACACAAAGTTAACACTACACAAAGTTAACACTACACAAAGTTAACACTACACAAAGTTAACACTACACAAAGTTAACACTACACAAAGTTAACACTACACAAAGTTAACACTACACAAAGTTAACACTACACAAAGTTAACACTACACAAAGTTAACACTACACAAAGTTAACACTACACAAAGTTAACACTACACAAAGTTAACACTACACAAAGTTAACACTACACAAAGTTAACACTACACAAAGTTAACACTACACAAAGTTAACACTACACAAAGTTAACACTACACAAAGTTAACACTACACAAAGTTAAGACTACACAAAGTTAAGACTACACAAAGTTAAGACTACACAAAGTTAACACAACACAAAGTTAAGACTACACAAAGTTAAGACTACACAAAGTTAAGACTACACAAAGTTAACACTACACAAAGTTAAGACTACACAAAGTTAACACTACACAAAGTTAACACTACACAAAGTTAAGACTACACAAAGTTAAGACTACACAAAGTTAACACTACACAAAGTTAAGACTACACAAAGTTAACACTACACAAAGTTAACACTACACAAAGTTAACACTACACAAAGTTAACACTACACAAAGTTAACACAACACAAAGTTAACACTACACAAAGTTAAGACTACACAAAGTTAACACTACACAAAGTTAACACAACACAAAGTTAACACTACACAAAGTTAACACTTAAAAGTTGGGACTGAGCCTCGAGAGGCAGGGGGTAAGAAGTGTTGGTGTTGTGGGTAGTGGGTTCCCCCCCTTACTTCACCCTAGGTCTAGTGAATATCTGTTCACGAAAGGAGCGTCCATTGTGGTGTCAGCCTATTGACCTAGCAAAACCTCTCTTACCTCAAGAGCATTGTGCGTGGCGAAGAGTCACAGCCTCCCCGAGGTAGTCCCGGTAACTGGGGGTGCGAATCCCCAGGCAAAACACAATGGATCTAGAGGAGCAAACCTCGATAATAAACCCGGTGCACCACACCGTACTGCCCCCTGTGGGAGGGAAGGAGCCAGAGGTGTGCTGAACAGTCTTAGGAATGGAAACAAGTATGCTAACCCCCCTGAATACCGGAAACTATCGTGAAGGCACAGGGACTCAGGACGTGACGATCCAGTTGCCCCAACTACTCATGCTTAGGCCATGCTTAGAGACATGAAGAGCTCAGCGAAACCTGCAGGCAATCTGGTGGCGGGGAATGAGCACACTGTGAGCCCCACCTTAGCTACGTGTTAAAGGGAAAGGCAGAAACACAACCCATATTTCCTTTAGAACTGGTACAGGGCATTTCTAGCTGCTGCCCGGGGAGGTAGGTAATCCACAGACACCCCAGCACCACAATGCCATGAATATGTCAAAATTTAAGAATACATACGAGATCGGTCGTCGCCTCGTCTATCAAGGCCCGCGCCAGACAGTGGGAAACCAGGCTGTCATGTGCGAAAAATTGGTTACTGGAAAATTTGAAATAAATAGGGAAAACAGACACCCCAGGAGGAGGAAGAGTGGGAGGGAGAGCAAAGAGAACTCAGACAGCACAGCAAAAAATACACAGATGCTCAATATTCTGCAGCTGAACATCTGTGGAATAAGACATAAGAAACTTGAACTTGCCAAACTGCTAAACAACCACAGGGTACACGTGGCTGCCCTACAAGAAACCCTGCATAAAGACTCTGATCTGCATCTCACTGGATATACTAGTTATGCCTGTAAGTGCAATGACTGCCGG